ACCATGTGGACACAGTCAGCAGGGATCTGATTGGCTGCTGCAGGTCTTGTGGTTATCCAGAGGTGAGCAGAGGGAAGCAGGTTCCCCCTGATCAGGTTTGTCAGCAGAACATCTACTGAGGTGGACTCTGTGGTATCAGTCAGGACCTGGTTCCTGTGGAAGTCCAGAGGAAGTCGACTCTCATCCAGACCATCAAGGATGATCAGAACCTTAAACCCTTCAAACCTGGAGATTTCTTTGGTTTTGTTAAAGAARTGATGAACAAGTGCCACCAAACTGAACTTTGTCTCTTTCAGCAAATTCAGCTCTCTGAAAGAAAATGGGAATATGAACTGGATATTTTGGTTAGTTTTGGTGTTAGCCCAGTCCAGAACRAACTTCTGTATCAAGACAGTTTTCCCAATGCCAGCCATCCCCAGTGTCATGACTGTTCTGGTTGGTTGATTTCTGCCAGGTTGGAGTTTAAAGAGGTCTTTTTGTCTGATGGTTGTTTCTGGTCTGTGTGGTTTCCTGGATTTCAGTTCAATCTGTCTGAACTCATGTTCATCATTGACCTCTCCAGTCCCACCCTCTGTGATGTAGAGCTCTGTGTACATCTCATTCAAAAGGGTTGGTTTTACTGCTTTAGAAATCCCTTCAAACATACAYTGGGACTTCTGCTTCAGCGATGATTTGAGTTTACGTTGACAAACTGCAGCTAGAAGTTCTGAGTAAAGAAAAATACAGGATAAACAATAAAACATTGTCTGAATCAAAAAAATTGAATTTCTGCTGTTCCATCTGCTGAGAAGTGAGTAAATATCTCATTTATTCAGCAGATTAAATCTTTAGATATCAACTTACTGCTCTGCAGATGTTCAGCCAGCTCCTCTTGCTTCATTGTTCTCAGGAAGTTCAGAGTGATCTTTACAAACACCTCACGTCTGCTCCTCCTCTGCTCTTCATCGTCACCCTCCAACACATTCTCATTCCCACTCTGACTCACAGAGGATTCTGGGGAAYCTGGMTCCAGAATTTTGCGAAATTTCTTCAGCTCAGTTTTCACAAAAGTGATTATGTGRTCCTCCAGCACCTGGAACAGAATATGAACGAATGACCCATCAGACTGAAATCATTGAGCCAAACATCAGATCCATGTTGGACAAAATGACAGTAAACTACAAAATGCAAAATGGAGACGACTATGAACCCAACAGGTGGAGAAGAAACTTATGTACAAACCATAAATATGGAGTCCAGCTGGGTCTGACACTGTTGAGCAGATTGAGCACCAGGAACCTCTGAGTTCTGCTGGTCCACTCTGTGGAGGAATCATGGAAAATTAGCTGCCATTCTGTCTGTCCACAAGCTCAAAAGGTCCATATGGAGCTGAAGGAATTTTTGTGATAATTAACTGATTTTTAAATAAAGTCTTGTAGAAAAATATACGTTGTTCAAAATGGTATGTCCGAATAAAAGACGAATCCAATGGATTTCTTCTTAAAGCTTTATTCTGAATGTTCTGACTCCAATCAGGTTCGTAGAGCAACTGCAGCACAGGTCTCTCAAGACCTTGGGCTGTACCAAAACAAAACAGACTCTGCTCTAAGCAGAGACTCTGCAACATAATTTCCTTTTACTATAATAATGAATTGACCTTATAATGTACAACTCTTCCTGGTTACACCCATGGAGGTGGTAAATTTTTACGTCAGACGTAGAACATAACTCATTTTTGTTTAGGCTAAAAGAAAGAACACATAAAGACACACACCAACTCTCATTCTGTTTAAACTTAAGACTGCAATGATCAGAAAGTATAATATACAATACTGCACCTAACATTCAGTTAATCAATTATAAAAATTTCTTCAGTCTTATCGTTTACACTTTTTGATCATTTGCAGTCATATGCTTTAAACCAGGGGTGCCCAACCAGTCGGTTGCCCGCGAGCTTGTTCCCAGGTGCCCACGAAGCACAACTTGCTCTAACAGCTGACGACAGCTGTCGTCTGCTGGTTGTGCTCCGGTCAGGAGCTCGCTGAACTTCATTCTAACTCCGGCAGAAGCAGTGGAGGTGGGAGGAGGAGAGCGGAGGGAGCGCGTTCAGGAATGTAAACTCCTCCCGCCTCCCACCTCCACCGCTTCTGCCGGAGTTAGAATGAAGCTCAGAGGAAGGTAGTCTCGCGAGTTTTGGGTGCTGTGAGACAGTGGTCTGAACATGATATTGCGAGACTTTAGGG